CGTCCTTGTTTAAGACCAGCTACTTCGAGTTCATCCACCATCACTAGGAGCGCTTTCAGATGCACTGACCTATAGACACTTGATCGACATCCAATTGAGGACGCACGTGCATCCAGATAGTCGCGGCTGCCCCAGCGCCACTTGAACATGCCCCTTCTTACCACCTTCGGCCGATACGGTATATGCCACCAGGCACGGCTTCCTCGGGTAATGCTAGCTCCACCCATAGGAGAGTTCTTGAACCTGTTCCGTAATTCTATTAAAGTGGCTGCCACCACTGTTTCTCCCTCTCAGGCCTGACCGGACGCTGACACTGACATCGCCAGTGGCCACTACCGTCCGAGACCGTAACGCACGGGTTTTGCGGACGAACAATTCCTAATTCTGGTGCCTTCTGCTTCTTTCAAACTACCTTGGATTTGGCCTAATGATTCTAATGCTCTAAGCACAGCCATGAATTAGACTCCTAAACAAACTAACAGTTACGACAGCATAAAAAGTGCTTATATATGCGATTTTAAAGCAGGATAACAAAATATTGGACTTCGAATTACGTGTGCATCGAGCGCCTTTGTCAATACTACCGGGACTCTAGATACAGTCCTACAGCGAAATTCCAAATCCCGTAAGCTGATAGGTGAATGCAGCCCCCGAATATCGGCAAGTGCTAGTTGAATCAGCTTAAACGTGCTTCCAAGTAGAAAAAGCTCACAAAACCTCGAGGTAGGACAACCTGATCTTGCTTTGTCCGCAATTATGTCAGAGAAACTGGTAGACTTCTCAAGACGCGATTTGCCGAACACGCGGCTGTAGTGCAGTGAATTGATGGCAATTCTCAAGTTGCGGCTCTTTCGACTTGACCCGGTCACACATTAAAATTTGATGAGGCCGAGGTGACAATTATGTGAGCCGAGAATTACTTGAGTCGTGGTTCACGGGCCCCCAGTCCATAAACAAGTGCAACCACTTGCCCAATCCATATTCAGTATTGAGGCTCAAGTTGGGCAAAGCAAGTCGCCACTTGGGGAGCGCAGAAGCCACCGCGACGTTTTACGCCAACAAGGGGAATCAGGTGGTTGAGCAATCATCACGCCTATGTCTACCACGCGTGATGCAAGTTCAGCAGGTTACAGCCCGCATTTCGTTCGGGAAGCAAGTGACGCACAAAAGGAAATTATCGTTTTGGTCGTTGGATGTCGAAACGTCGGGTGAATAAAAGTGCTGTCCCAGCGATCGAATCTTCGTCTTCTCAGCCTGATTTTGCGTTTTATTAGGCCGAGTATTTCACCCTCGACGACCAAAGACCGCAGGTCGGATATTCAGATGCGGCAAAACTCAGGTTTGGGTAAAGCTGATTGATGACGGTTTACAGACCAGACATGACTGCCGCAGTCACCTTTGTGCTTGCCAGAAATAACCGATCTTCCTTTCAGTACCTTTGGGAGTCGCTGTGTGAATGCGGATGAAGGTTCTAGGTTGAGCCGCAAGACGCAATTGGATGCGCGTGTCCCCGCATCATGGTCGGAAAACGCACTTCTACGCCGCACAACGAACAGTTTTCGCTGACTTCGATTACTCGACCATAGGCATGTAAACAGACTAGGAAAAGACACTAAAAGACAGCTATTTAAGTAGTCAGTTCTTACCAAAAACACCCGAGCTATACCGCGGTAGACCGGTTTACTGTAGTAGTTCGGAGAGACAATAAGCAGAGACTGTCCACCGTTCTCGATCACCGGCATGTTAAGAGCCTGGTTCGGCTGGGAAAACAAAGGAGGCAAAACATTGCTTCTCAGAAGGATGAAACTTAAAGATAACAGAGGCGAACAGTAGCAACTGTGAGTAAGAAAACTTGCCTACCGTGTTGGACCACCCGAATTGAACCTTTTCAGAATAGACCTGAAACGAAAGAAAGGCGAACAGGACATTCGGATGCACTGCAAGTGTAAACGCCAGAATACAAGTCTATGGACAGTCAAAACCAGCAGTCTATGACAGATGTGACCCCGCCATTGGATGAGAATGTAAGCGGACAATTTGGCTTGCTTACCGAACGCATAGTTCGCGATACGCAATCTCCCACAACAACCCAAGATTCGGTCCACACTCGATTAACCCAGCCCGTCACAAAGGTGTTGGCATTGATCCAGTGGAAATAACACAGGTAGGATTCCCTGCAGAAGAAAGAAATAACGAAGGCTGGTCACAATTCAAAGCGTATAGTAATAGAATCCAAAAAGGAGTAAGGATACGTTAGAAGATTTAGGATCGGTAGGCATATCTTCGTTTTTGTTTTTTGGTGGTAATTAAGAAACGGCAACCAGAATGTCAACCGCCTTCGGCTGTTTCAGCAAGAGCTACAATCGGTTACACTTAACCCCTTCAGAAAAAGAAAACGCAATCAATGGAAGAATTAGTTTATTTGCTCGACGTTTCGGATTCTGTCGAGGACATCTTATCAGACCTGACCGTAGAATAGGGTAATATATGCACAGATTACGCAGTATTAATAGTTCATAGTGGCCATGCGACAGCATGCGCACTAGAGTCATCAGTTCCCCTTACCACCGCTAGGGGGTCGTACGTGATGCAGTAATGGCTTGACAGTCCACTTTTGAGTAATGAAATGCCACAATTTCGTCATCCGTGTTGGATGCGGGCTTAATAATTACGCGACAATTATGGCTGCCGTCGTCGGAGTTGTTGCTGGTACCGAACCTTCTCACCTAAGTGGGTCTTCTCAGACAATGTCTCGGTACGGAGTATGGTAATGGCAAGTCGTTGCGTTAAATGATTGACTGCTGGCATGAGAACCATGATGGGAACAGCTCGCCGCTCTCGCAGTTTTAACTCTTTTGAAGATTTTGGCCTCGAAAAAC